ACCTCCTCCGCCGCTGCCGCCACCACCCCCACCGCTGCCACTAGCCCCTCCAGCCCCGCCACCACCCCCACTGCCGCCACCGCCCCCACCACCGCCTCCCCCGCCGTCACCTCCGCCTCCCTTGCCCCCTTTTCCCTTGCCGCTGCGGCGCCAAATCGGAGTGGACACAGTCCCGACCTGCTCAGTACCAACTAGGTCGACAGCAGCAGCAGAGGCGACAGAGGGGAGAAGTGGGGAAGGGGAACACCCCTCGAAGAAAGGGGTGCGGGGGTCGCCACGAGAGGCACCTACAGCGACTATGCTAGTCTCAGCTGCAAGCAGTTCCTTCTCGAGCAGATCAACGGTGAGCTCAGTGGGGCAGCGAGCGAGGAAGTGGTCCCTGACCGCACGAAGAGAGTCAGGGAGACGGGTGACCAGGTGGTAGAGAGTGAGCCAGAGCGGGGGGGGGGGTTCTTGGCAAGAAACTCAGCGGGCATAGCGGCACGGAAGCGGGCCTCACTAGTGCGGAGGTGCGTGATGAGGTCAGCGACTGTGGAGAAAGCGGACAGGTCTGGGAACAGGTAGGGGAGCGAGAGACGGCCTAGCGCAGCAGAGGCAGGTGAGGAGTAGCGTGCAACTACAGCAGTGTACAGTGCCTGCGCAGTTTTGTGCTGGCCAAAGTGCTCGCGCTCATCTATCGGCAGAGAGTTGCGAATAGCGAAGCGAGCGTGGGCGTCACGAGTCTGCCACTGTGAGCGGGCAGTACTGTCAGCAGTAGCAGCAGGGGCAGCAGCGAGTCCTAGTGCGTGATCGTACAGCGAGATATCCTCCTTGGCAGTGAGCTGGAGGAACAGGTGCAAGTCATCTAGCCAGGTGTCAAACTTCAGCGGGCGGCCCTCAGCATCGAAAGAGAGTACAGCAGGGCTAGCCATAGTTGTAGGAGGAGCAGTAGCAGCAGTAACAGTGACAGTAGTAGAGGCGCGGCTCGGTAGGGCGGCGCGGCTCGGTAGGGCGGCGCGGCTCGGGCCGGGCGATTCGGTTCGGTGGGGCGGCTCGGCTCGGCTAGGCGGCGACTACTCGAGGTGGGGCACGCGAGGGCGTGCAGGTCAGAGCGGGGCCGGTCCGCGCAGGGCACGAAATGGCGGGCTAGCGGGGCGGGGCCTGGACGCACGGGGCACGCAAGGGCGAGCTAGTGGGGCGGGGCCTGGTCGCACGGGGCACGCAAGGGCGGGCTAGCGGGGTGGGGCCGGTACGCGAGGGGCACGCAAGGGCGCGCGAGTGGGTGTGGGCCGGTCGCTCGGGGCACGCAAGGGCGCGCGGATAGGCGGGGCCGGTTCGTAAGGAGCGCGCACGGGCGCGTGGGGCAGCTGGCGCTCGGGGCCGCACGAGGCACGTAAGGGCGCGCGCGGGGCAGGCTACGCACGTGGGGTTGCACGGGTCGCACGCGAGGGCGTGTGAGGAAGGCGGGGCCGGTCGCATGGGGCACGCTAGGGCGTGCGGGCTAGGCGGGGCCGATCGCGAGAGGCGCGCTAGGGCGCGCGATAGTGAGTGAGAGAGGAGGGCGCACGAGGGCGCGACTAGGCGAGGCGCGCTAGGGCGCGACTATGCGGAAACGGTGGGCCCTATCGTTCGGTCCTAGGTTACGACCTAGGCTCGTAATACCATGTTAGAAACTTAGAGAGAATGAGAATGGTGAACTAGAAGGGGAATGGGAGTACAAGTACTACAAACCTAGAGTAGTGTACCCCCTAGAAGGCTAACCCACTATAGCCTACACAAATATATGCAAGTATAATGTTTGACACTGCGGGGGGCACGCTACGGGACGAACTAAGGCCCGTGGGGTGACGGGACCTGCCGAGTTTGCAACGGGCAACGGGCGACGAACGGACGACGAACGGACGGCGGACGAGCGGCTAACGTGCGGCTACCGAGCGGCTAGCATGTGAAACCCTAAAACGAGCGAGCCAGCGGGCGGCGAGCGCGCTACGGTCGGCTATTGAGCAACAAACGGGGCGTGCGGAGGTGGGCCCATGAGAACAAACTAAACTCAATACCATGTCAAAGATGGAACTAGAAGAATGAATGAGTATGAACAAGCAGTACAAGGGAGGATATAGCAAACCATAAAGGGGTTATACCCTCTACAGCATAACCCAATGTAACACCTAGACTAAATAAAAAATCTATAAAAATTATAGTTTGACATGCTGCTGGCGGCGAGCAAGTCGCCGCCGTAGACCAGCACCCAGCAGGCCACAACATCGTCACCCAACCCATTTCTACGCTGCTTGCGTGAATCTGCCAAAATCACCCTAGTTGACTTTGATTTGACTATTGTGCCAAAGTTTTATATCAGGTGCAACCGCCAGGCTCGGCCGTTTAGGTTTGCCTCGCGAGGTTAGGACGTCAACCCAATCAACTTTGATCGGCGCGATCAAAGGCGATCGATAACTTCGAGGAAGGCGGGAAGCCAATTTCAGGCAATCGGGGGCAATCAGTTGATCGCGTTCAAATGATCGCTCCAACTCGATTAATCGCCTCAAACAGCCCGATAAAAATCGACCAGACACAATCAGTCCCAATCACTCGATTGCATGTGATCGGGGACCTGGGGGATGTATGCGAAATGTTACACAATTGACTAGAGGTCTCCCAATACACTAAATGTTACGGATATACAGGCGAGAAGATTGTGAAGCGGACATTGTGTGCAGTTTGACGCTTGCGAAGTTAGTACGATACACTGCGATTGCCAGTCTCGCCAAAGTTGGATAGAAACTAGCAGGTAATGGTTTCACGCGGCACGTAGAGCTTTCGAGGAAAATTAGCTCTGATCGGGCGGCGCGAGAAAAGCGATCACAAGCACTCCGATCCAATCCAACCCGATCCGACCCGATCCGATCAAAGTCGATTGGGCCCACGTCCGTAGTCCAACACTTGGTATGCGAGCTGGTGCGACAATTTCATTGGATACCGCACATGCGATGCTGGCGACATCTGTCGCCCTCCATAATGAGGTTCCATGGTCAGAGTGGGAGCATTCCCACCAAAACCCCCATCAGCTTTGAAAATAACAGGCTGGTGGGGGGACTTCGATGGTGGGGGAACTTGAGAATGCGCTGTTAGGCCTTGTTCGATAGCTTTGAAGTCCAGGGGTAACCACAGCCCTATCAAAGTATTGCGTGGCTCGGTAAAGGCTCGGCAGCAGCTAACAAGGGCTTTAAACCCGCCTAGAGGTTAGGCAGATCCAAACCAGAACCTCAAGTACGTTCGGGGCACCTACAAATCTGGTGTGGGAATTTTCACTGCGGACCGCGGTCCAAACATTGTTGCCAACTGGTCAAGAACAGTGATCCAGGGGCAAAATGGACTTTGAAGAGTTCTGTTTCACGCTTGGTGCTCAAACGACAGCGAGGCCGCTGCACTTTGGTGGGGTATTCGCGAAATTCTAAAAACAAAATCACCCTAACCCCAAGAGGGTTCAATTTTCCCGTTGAACTACTGAATTGTTTTTGTAGGGATCCATTTTCTGCCCAGGGTACTTTTGGGGTCGAAATTCGAAAAAAAAAAACGGAAAATGAACTGTGCTTTTGGACGTGCAATTTTGCACTGTTGTGTATTTACTGGTGATTTTGCCCTGGTTGTGTATCCTTTGACTACGCGGTTCTGACTGCGGCTTGGACTGTTTTTACAGCTGTCTGTACTGTAACCCAAATCAAGTTGCATCTAGAAGGTAGTGACCCCAGGTTCGGAAACCCTAGGCCGACTCGGCTATACTTTGGTGGGGCTGTACAAAAGAATGAAGTGCAATCGAACAGGGCCTTAGTGATACACCTCTATCGGACAGATGTGTTGTGACAGTTACTCCCCTATCGGACGCCGCAGACAGTTACTTCTAATCTTGGCACTGGAACAGCTGTGACAATGAAGGAAACTGTAGACAATTGGGCAAGGTCGTATCCACCCAACCCAGAACAGCTGTGACAAATGCCGTTACTTCGACAGCCGTGGTCGGAATGAGGCGAACTACAGTATTTCAGGCCGCAGGCGATGGCATCATTCCGTCAGCTGTTCCCTCAGTGTTGTATCTGCTGTTCGATTTCCTATGCGAGTGCATTGAGGGTACTGCTGCAATCCAGCGAAATCTTCAGCTGTATCTGCTTTCACGCCAAAACATATATTGTTAGTTTTCTATCAGGGCGAGGTCAGCGCGTCGTCCTGCGTTCATTTACGGTTCCATCGTATGGAAGACATTTCCAGACGGTGTACAACGGTAATCAAAATCCACTGTTTAAACCGAGACCAAACGAGAGTTACCGCACAGGACGAACAAGGGACCAACGCACTGACCTCGCCGATTATGAAACCTTCCTTCGTCCGGCCTGGAGTAAAGTCATTTTGCATTTTCGCCCTTGTTTTTTGGCAAGCCGTCTCTCTCTCCCTTTCTTTCAACTGTCATGGCGCGAAACCCGGCGTTCGTCCCTCTCTACTTTCAAGTTGTCTGCGGTGTGCTGGTCGTCGTCATGCTTCTCGCTTCTGCCGCTGCGAGTAGTGCCTACCGTGTGGCGGATGGCCAGCGACAACGTATCGGACGGGTCTTTTCCGCGATGCCTCGCTTGCCCCCGACGAGTCGTCGCCCGCGCCAGGCGGCGGCTGCGTCTGTAACGCCGAGTCAGGCGCGCATCAAGCTCCAACCGTCGCAATGTGAGTGCTTTTTTTTGTCGCCGAAGGCGGCTGTTCTGCTCAATTTGAAGCATAATTTCTTGCTCTCCTATATGATGATCGTCTAACAGCAGGCAATTCCGACTGCAGATTTCAAGAGGTCCTTGCTCATTATTCTTGCCATAAATGTCGCTCCCCTTCTCCCACTTCGGGGTACAGCAGAACGTGGAGATGCCTAGCCAGGCGACCAGTTCTTGTCGCCGCCCAACAGTCACCTGACGGCTGGCAAGCCATGCTCATCCCCTTCGTCCTGCCTTTGCATCCCCCAAAAATCTCCTCGTCCACCTTGCCCCCAGTGCAAGCGCTTCTGGCCCTGAACCAGGCATTGACTTTGTGGATGAATTGCACCTCGTCAAACGTGTTCTGTCATGAGTGGAAGAGCGGAGTTGCGGGCTTGAAGTGTAACCAAGACGGCATGGTTACTGAGCTGTAAGTTTTGTCATGAGATCTTGCTGTGCACTCTGGAAAAGGAGTAGCGGGTACATGGGGGGAGGAGGTAAGTGGGGATGGGGATAGGGGGAAGGAAGGAGTTGGTATAGAAGGGCTGTTTGGCATGATGGATGATACATCCTAAATCAATTATGGGGGGGTTGGGTGTTGCGAACCATGCAGTAGGGACTTCGTGCCCTCGTCCGAGGTGTATGTACAGTTCCTGCAATGAAAATATAAGCTTTTTGGGTTACCTCGTACGGACCATACTTGCCGAACCTAACAAATGTGAACTAGGAAAAATGTATCACTTAGGTACTGGCTAGTGTGTGTGTGCTCTGCTGTGCATTTCTTTCTGCCCTTCTTTCCTTCTTTCTTTCTTTCTGCCCTTCTTTCCTTCTTTCTTTCTTTCTTTCTGCCTTTCTTTCCTTCTTTCTTTCTTTCTGCCTTTCTTTCTGCCTTTCTGCCTTTCTTTCTGCCTTTTTGCCTTTCTTTCTGCCTTTCTGCCTTTCTTTCTGCCTTTCTGCCTTTATTTCTGCCTTTTTGCCTTTATTTCTGCCTTTCTGTCTTTCATTCTGCCTTTCTGCCTTTCTTTTTTTCTGCCTTTCTTTCTTTCTGCCTTTCCATCTCACATCGTATGATATGTAATGTAGGTCCGCACCTTTCGTCCTTGGTTCGCATGGCAACGTGCCAGCAGACATCACAGCCCTCTCTGCGCTTCAGAAACTGTCAGTGCATACCATTGTTGGGGGGGAGGCACCAGGATGGCCGTAGGGGTGCTTGAAGGTCCAGAGAATGGGTTGTCGTGGGTGCGCTGAAGCACCACTAGAACACGTGTGCTGGTGATCTAGAAAGATCCTTGTATGTATCATGCATCGCACACAGTCGGAAGTTCCTGTGTATCTACCGTTTTTACTTTCTGTCGTATTTCCGCTCCATAGGTACTACTAGTTTATTTTCCAACATCTGCAAACCCTCCGAGCTCAAAGGGGAAAAGGGCCTCGGAGCTCTCAATCCCTTGGGATTCGCTTCTCGTATATGACGTGTAGTCACCCTGCCCTCTTGCATTACATTGCACGCCACTCTGTAGGAATCTGGTTGGTACGCCCTTCAGTGGGAGCTTGGAGATTCTCGGCCAATTCCCCGAGTTGCAATATGTGTACGCAGCTACTTTCCGTTCCACCATTGCACCTTCTTGCCTATAAATCTATCTTAATCGTTCGAGTCTAGTCCATGGTTGGCTTACATCATCAGTTTCCCTTGGTTGTCGCTCTCTCCCATCGCTCTCTCCCATTGCTCTCTCCCATCGCTCTCTCCCACATGTGAGGTGTGCGTACCCCCCCACCCACTTGGTTGCCATGGCACACGCCAGAGATCTGAGCTACACTGACTTCAAAGGATCCATCCCTGAAACAATCAGCAATGCCCAGAGCCTGCAGTACCTGTAAGAGGGGGTTCTAGTGTCAAGGCAAGGCAACAGGGCATGATGAATCATCATCCTGGCGTGCACCTACTGCCCTTGTCACCCTGAGGAAGAATGAGAATCCGGGATTCCATCACGTGTCGAGCGTGGCCGACGGGGGCAGTTCATTTCGCGGCTATGGAGAGTGCTTTCATTCTTGCCTTTCTTTCTTTCTTTCTTTCTTTCTTTCTTTTTGTTAGGCAGAATACACCCTACTATTGGAACCAATTTCCAAAATACAAATCTCATCTATTAGCGTGCCAATGCACATTTTCCCCTGCTGGCACGTTCTTCTGTGCACCAGCGCGTATGCATCCCATCCCAGTAACCTCCAAGGCCTGAATCTCAGTGGAAGTCTCCCTGGCAGCATCAGTCGCCTCACTGCACTCCAATCCCTGAATTTCTTCTCTCACCTCCCCCAACCTCCTTCCTTGCCTTCCTAAATCTCCCCCCTGTCCTCTTCCACCCCCAAGCTTGCAAGCACATCGTTTGAACCTTTATATTGACACATTTGTTTTTGCCCTCTCCACTTCCTAGCCGCTGCTCCCCTTTCTTTCGTAGCGCACCAGTCCGTTGCAAGCATGTAAACTCCCTTTCCCTCTCTCTGCACTGCCCCCAACATGCAGGCGCATTGGGACGCCACAGCCGTCTACTTTCCCCCCTCCTTATGCATACGACCCTCCAACAGAGTGAGACTGACGGGGATGAATGGAATGGGGCTCTTGCTGCCTGCTGGTGCATGCATGATGTGTGTGAATCGCCATCAACATATTTGCAGAAGCTGTAGCAGCGTAGTAACATGGATACGGCACAGAATACTGTGTATGGTCAGGCGGTCAGTGGCAAATGTGTGAGTGTACCTCAAGTACTTGATGCTTGGGATGCTCTTGGAAAGAATCACTGGCTGATGTGATGCGAACCACATGGTTCTGAAGCACACAGTGCAGTGCTGCAGGTCAGCTCATGTGACGACGAGGCCGTCCGTGTGTGCACACCTTCCATGCCGCAGCTCGCACTCCACCTTCCATACCGCAGCTCACCGCCTTCTATTCTCCTAACATGCTCAATACCACGTGCTCACTGCTGCATGCACCCACCCAAATGGGGCTTCTGCTCCACCGTTTCTGCTGTGACTACTGCTGCAATTTGAGAATTCTTAAAAGCCCCCTGCACGAGTGATTCTGCTGTGGTGCCCTTTTCCGCCATGGGCAAAACACAGCCCCACTGAAAGCTACTTACTCCCCCCCGCGGCCCGCCTCCCTTCACCCTGCCATCTGTTGCTCTCGCAGTCTTCTATCCATTGAGCAAGGCTCTATGGACGACCTCTCCTGTCTTGCTCCACTCACTCGTCTCCAGGACCTGTATGCTTCGATTCTTCCCAGCCCGCCTTTTCCCTTAATCTAACTCATTCCAACTCATCTCTACCTATTCTCACTCATTTCTACCCGCCTTTCATCCCCTCTCACTCTTTCCTACCCGCCTTCGCCTCCCCTCTCACCCCCCACTTACCCGTCTTCCACTCCCCTCTCACTCATCCTTATCTGCCATCCCCTCTTTCTCTGCTAACACATGTTCCTATTCAGCGTGCAACGGTCAGTCCAGCAGCATAGTTAATGGATTTAAGCCCCCCTGCAGATCGCAGCACATCCAAGGGGCTCGCTACCTGCTGCTGCCCCTCGCCCGTGCTTCATTCACACCTGCACATTGAACACAGCACTTGCCCGTGAATCATTCACACCTCACTCGCTCACATTCTGTTTGCTTCCCAACTACCGTCTGTCCACTTCACCAGTGTCTTTCACCCTCTCTCCTGCATGCCTGCCTCTCTCTCTTCCATCCTCACTTCTCCTCAGCGCTCTCATGAGTCTCAACCTGACTTCTGGAGATTTCCCTTCCTCTCTCTCTGCACTTACTTCACTCAAGCACCTGTAAGTCCCTAGAGTATCTTCCTTCCTCCTCCTTAAGCGAGTGCTTGGTATAGTTTCTATCTCATGTTTTTTATGCTTTGTGTTGGCAATCACCAAAGTGCAACCATGGTGCTGGTGTGGCATCATCTCTCACTTGCTCCTGGTTAGCCTTGGGTATGTGCTTGCTCGTTGCGTGCGTTGCATTGCATCTCATCACTGTATGCTCATGAAAAAAACACAATCAGCAGAAACAAGTTTCTTTCCCACTTACGCAAGTCGAAATAGGAGCGAGCGAGCACGTTTCTCTTTCAATGTCCCAGAGCTCTAATTATGGAACCATTATGAAATTCTCAAGGTTGATCCGGCAGGGGTCAGCAGGAGCTAAGGGGTGCGCTCACCATCTCTCCTCTCCCTTCTTTCCTGTATTGCATTGCAGTGACCTAAGTTTCCTTCCCATCACCCGCTTACCAGAGTGGATCGCTTCACTCGCTAAGCTCACTCATCTGTGAGTGGAACCAAGAGCCTCTCGCCCCACCCCGCCCTGACTATCATCACCGCTTCCTGTTGCACCTTGCCCGTGCTTCACTTGGGATACAAGAGGCCAGCACACGTCCGCTCTGCGGGTTCCACCTCCTCTCTCTCCCTGCACCACCTGTGATTGCCAATGAAATCGCCTCAAGCTCGCACCCTGACGGGTCTGTGCCGCGTTGAATCGAGGGTGTTCGACGGCGTTCCCTGTGCTGCCCTGCGCCATTCTGCCCTGCGCCATGCTGCCCTGCGCCATGATGCCGTGCATTGGTCCACATGTGGCTCAAGGCAGAGTCAATCAGGGCAATGAACGATGGTTAGAGAGATTGCTCAATGGCTATAAAGTGAGATTCAGATGTACGCAATGCTCCCTGCCGTGCCTCTCCACCGACTGGAGCGCCCCGTGACTCCCCTACCCTCCTGCCCTTGTCTTCCCTGCAGGGACGTCACCGGAAACTTACACGTCCACCACTCTGCACCTTTCCCCACCGAATGGATGGCGCTCACAAGGCTGGAAACGCTGTGAGTGAGCCATCCGCCATGTCCACAACACACCAGCTTGGTTTGACACCTGCTGCTGCTCGCCTCACCATCCAAAGCCATCCGTTCCTTACATTTCCTGATGGGCCACTCCGCTCATCCCAGCTCTGTTGCCCTCCAGCTGCCAATGCATGCGCCCCTCCCCTCCTCTCACCCCTCCCCTCCTCTCGCCCCTCCCCTTGCACCTCCAGGCGGGCCGGTCTGAATGGCTTCACTGGCTCTATCCCCTCCACCATCTCCGCCCTCACCGCCCTCACCATCTTGTACGCCTCCCCTTCTCATCCTCTCTCCTCTTCCTTCCTCTCTCCCTTTCCCATCCTCTCTCCCCTTCCCATCCTCTCTCCCCTTCCCATCCACTCTCTCCTTCCCATCCTCTCTCCCCTTCCCATCCTCTCTCTCCTCTCCATCCTCTCTCCCTTTCCCATCCTCTCTCCAATTCCTATGCTCTCTCCCTTTCCCATCCTCTCTCCAATTCATATCCTCTCTCCCCTTCCCATTCTCTCTCCCCTTCCCATCCTCTCTCTCCTTCTCATCCTCTCTCCTCTTTCCATCCTCTCTCCAATTCCTATCCTCTCTCCCCTTCCCATCCTCTCTCCAATTCCTATCCTCTCTCCCCTTCCCATCCTCTCTCCCCTTACCATCCTCTCTCCCCTTCCCATCCTCTCTCCCCTTCCTCTCTCCCCTTACTTCCTTTCTCCCCTTCCTTCCTCTCTCCCCTTCCTTCCTCTCTGCCCTTCCTTCCTTCCTTCCTCTCTCCCCTTCCTCTCTCCCCTTCCTTCCTCTCTCCCCTTCCTTCCTCTCCTTCCCCGTCCGTCCATGGGAACCCCATTAGAAATGCAGTGGTCGTAGAAATAAGGAAGGGTATACATACTAGGCGCCAAAGCACCAGGTTGTGAGCACCAGGTTGTTAGCACCAGGTTGCGAGCACCAAGGTGTCACATCCAGCTGAATAATGGACTCCGAATAAATCTCTTGCACAGGTAGTTCACCCAGTTAAAGCGGTTCTTTCGCCATGGCCCCACCAGGGAGCTCTACGGAAACAACATCTCAGGGAGCATTCCTGTTGGCATCAGCAAGCTAACTAGATTGCATGCCCTGTAAGTCCCTCACATCACATCACAGGGCGGCTTTCAACATAATTCAGGGCGGCAACGGAATGTCGTGGGGTTGAATCAAGGCGAAGCATGACCAGGTGAACCGAGGCAGGGTATGGTCCTGTCGTGTCCTCCGTATATCCCTTGTTGTAGGAAATAATGCCATTGTATGAAGTCGCTGCATTGCACTACCACGTGCCATCCACAATACACGTGCGTGTCTTGGCCTCTCTCCACACACACGTTCCTGCCTCCACTCATCACAACACTAGTTGCTCGGCTTTAATAATCTCACCGGCGCCATTCCTGACATCCTCGCACATCCTTTCACTTGTAAGTCTCCTAGGCCCGCCACGCCTGGCATGAGCTCACGTATGGCGTGGTTCGGATTGCAATGCACCTCCATGTGGCACACTTGCATTGCATGCTGAGTCTCAACCCCACCAAACAGATTGAGGCTCTTGGGCAGTCTCTCTCTCACCATGCTTTCTCATCTCCGTGTGGCAACTTCAAGCAGACGCCCCTTGAGATCCGCCTATTGTTACCTCAGCAATGCATAAACGCCTTTTTGATTAAGCATGTAATCGTTAGGTTGCGTTGCGTTGCGTTCCCAACAGCCCAAGATTGGCATTCTGCCGTACTATCGTGCTTCCATATTTTCTAAAGCTTCTGATATTCCACCGAGGCTGCACTCGCGCATGACATTGCCGTATGTTTCACAGCCCTGACTCATGTTCCTCCAGTGCAAGAGCTCTGAACCACATCGCACACTCCCCTGGAGTTTGGCAAAGAAGCATTCTCGCCCCTATCTCACCGTGCATGCCTTCACATCTCCTCCACATCCCCTCCCCTCCACATCCCCTCCCCTCTACATCCCCTCCCCTCCACGTCCCCTCCCCTCCACGTCCGCTCCCCTCCACATCCCCTCCCCTCTGCCTGCCCTCACTGCGCGCAGAGACCTCTCCCACAATCAGCTCACCTCCATGCCTTCTCTCATCAATAAAAAGTTTGTCTAAGTCTTGGGTGATTGACATCGCTTTGTTATCTCTTTTGTGTTCGCATTGTTCTCTCATCCCCTCCACATCCCCTCCCCTCTACATCCCCTCCCCTTCACATCCCCTCCCCTCCACATCCGCTCCCCTGCACATCTGCTCCCCTCCACATCCCCTCCCCTCTGCCTGCCCTCACTGCGTGCAGAAACCTCTCCCACAATCAGCTCACCTCCATGCCTTCTACCATCAATGGGGGGCATGTGTAAGTCTTGGGTGATTGACATCGCATTCTTCTCTCTTTTGTGTTCGCATTGTTCTCTCATGTTTTTGGTGCCTTGTTCCAGGGATGAAGAACATTAGCCTGAGCCACCTCCTCCCTCATCCTTATCATTCCGTGCCATGTCTTGCTATGCTGTGCCGTCCCATGCTTTGCCGTGCCATGGTGTGCCATGCCACATTACCCCTTTTAGCATGGAAGAGAGCCGAGCATGCAAGCGGGATGGCATGCTCCTGGTTATGGGATGGTGCAGCCGGCACGGAGACGGAGGTGGAAGCTCATGCGGCATGCAGTGCACATGTCTCATGTGCCTTCCATCATGCCATGGCCCTTGGGTCACTAAATGCTCACTCCTCACTACAGCAATTCCCTGCTGGGACATTCAATGCATGCATGTTACCATCATCTCACTCCCTTCCACCATCGCCCATTCAACCTCTCCAGTTCCATGGCTCACAACCAGCTTCAAGGTCCCCTTCCTTCTGCCCTCGTTTCCACTTCCTTTACTCTGTAAGCGCGCCTTGAAGTTGCTTGGTCCCGGTATGGAAGGAAGGAGGGATGCAAGTGCGTGTGCTCAAGTTGTCTCTTGATTGATTTCCCTCAGAACGACAGTAATTCTCATTATGTATGTGCAAACATAAACATTCCCGTCCACATACACTGCTGGTCATTCCCCCATCCCCATCCCATGCAACCCATGCCTCCACACAGTGAGCTGCAAGGCAACGCATTCTCTGGTTCGCTACCCAACTTTGATTTGTGGATAACCCCTTCACTTCATAGTCTGTGAGCTCACCGCCTTGTTCTTATCTTTCTCAACCATTGTCCATCTATGTCAGCCCTTCCTGTCCCCTTTGGGTTTCCTTCATGTCAGCCACGAGCAACATCTGAACTAGCAGCCACATACCTAGCATCGCATGGCTCTGAGTGTCTGAAAGTCACTAGAATCTTTAGCAAAATCACACTGTCCCTTCGATCCTCATCCCCCTCGCCTGCGCCCATCCAACATGCCCCACTCAATCCCCAGCGACGTCAGCGACAACCAGCTCAGTGGCTCCCTCCCTGACTCCATCTCCCGCTTTGCAGTGCTTTGGGAATTGTGAGCCTTGCATTGCTGCAGGAACTGTGAGCCTTGCATTGCTGCAGGAACTGTGAGCCTTGCATTGCTGCAGGAACTGTAAGCCTTGCATTGTTGCAAACAGCTGATGCACTCTGGTTGCTGGCATGCACGTGTGGCATGGCATGGATGGCATGGCATGGCATGGCATGGCATGGCATGGCATGGCGTGGCAGGGGGCTTGGAGGCAACAATCTGAGTGGCGTCATACCCGCTAGTCTAGGCGGATTTACCGATCTATCATACCTGTGAGTAGCACAACCATTCCCCATCCACTACAAGCCTAAAGGTGACTACTCTCCCCGCGCTGCTCTTACGTTTCCATCCTTCCTACCAGGGTCTCACTATTACTTGCATCGGGAATCCTCCTATTTTTCCCCCTTGGATTTGAACTCAATGACAGCATAGTGGTGTTGAGTTGGCTGGCCTCTTTTCTCCTTCCACTCCTCTGCGCCACATGCTTCACAAGCCCATCCTGCCTCTCACGTAGAGTTCTAGATTCATTTCTGTATGTAAGCCAGTAACTAATTAACTCCATATTCACATGGTATTTGGTATTGGACCGAATGCTCACAGCAATACCTCAAACTAGCCTAGTAATTGCATGTATTTTCTTGTCGCACACTAGTTTCAAGTCAATTTTTGGCCATGCTTGTGTATTGTTTCCTCGATTCTCCCATCCTCCTCCCACACTCGCCCCCAGGAACGTCTTGGGCACGGGGCTGACCTGCCCTGCAGACGGCAGCAAGTGCCTGGTGAAGCAGAGCAACACCACCGGCTTCTGCCACCTCTGCTTCTCCTTCTGCTCCTCCTGCACCCCCCTTGCTTGTAAGTCTCCATGCTGCCATGGCTGCCCACACACAGACGCATGCATAAGAACGATGCCACACCGGCTCCAATCAAACTTTCCAACAACTGCTGGTTGGTGGAATAGGTGAGCTTTACAGAATTTGAATTCACGTTCCAATCTATGTCTGTGCCCACATGCCAGTGTCGGCGCCCACACAGGATCCAGCACGGCCAGCACCAGTGTGGACCACGAAGGAATGGCTATTACCGCAGGCACGATCGACATCTGGCCCTCGCACGTTCATTGCTGCTGCCATTAACCACTCTACTGCTGCTGCTGTTGCGGCCGTCTTGCTCCTGGTGTTCGGGATGTGAAGCGTAGAGTTTTCACGTGGTGGTTTCGTATCGATTGTTGTGGGTGGGTGGACTTGGGGTAATGAGACTCCAAGTCTGGAATAGCATACTCGGGGTGATCTTCAAATATACCGTATGTGTTGAAAGATTGCAGTAATCCATTAATATGCTAGTGAAGGTCTGGATTTTGTGGCTACTTTTCAGCTTGTGCTTGGAATATATTTAATGTGAGTCGGAGATTTACATGCTAATCACGTTCAGTGTCATGTCAATGCACATGTATATGTCAAATTGTGTGTTTTCTTATTGTAGGCTATGTCTACCTTTTAGAGCCAGGGTTTTCACTTGTATTCCCTTGTATGACCTTCTGTCAAGCCATTATGTTCTTACTGCCGTAGTCCTTGACATGGTATCATTAGGACGGTCATCGCTTCTGTTCACCCACCAGTTTTCTATCACAGCACCCTTGTTGTCCAAATAGTGAACCTAGTTCAACTTGTCACTCTGAACGTTTACGTTCCTCTGTAGATAGATGGCGTCCGTCAGACTGATGGAACTACTGTATTATATGCAGGAGGAAGAGATACCGTAATACCCCGGATATAAGCGCATCTGCGCTTATAATAAAACAATGTTTTTGAGGGGGGTGCGCTTATAAATGAGTCAAAATTATAAGCGCATGCGCTTATACAATGACAAACACAGAAATATGTTATTAACGCACCAAACTGTGCATTAGAGTCTTGCAATTTCATTCAAATCGAAATGTGTGGAGCGTTCTGAATCAGAATCGCGCGAGGGCGATTCTCTGCCGGCGCACAAGGGCAAGGACACGTCACTTTCGCATAGGAATGTGTCATGCTCGCCCCAGCAGAGTGTACGAACCAATAGCTTGCAGTCGCTCGTTCGCATCGCACAGGCTTGCCCCAGTGTACGACCAATAGCCTGCAGTCGCTCGCTCGCAGCGCACAGACAACAGTTGTTCCCGAGCCCCCCTGTCAGGTCAACTTCGCGCCGTTGCGCTTTTCCTAAGCGAGCCCGCCCTCGAGGGAGTCGAACAGAGTAGAAGTGGATGTGGACTCGCTTCAAAACGGGAAGTCGTTACTGTTTTAATCCGGTTTATTTAAAATATGTTTATACATGCGCTTATAATAAATCAGGGTTTTATAAGGGGTGCGCTTATAATTGAGGATCGGCCATAAGCGCATTGCTCCAGATATAAGCGCATGCGCTTAACATAGGCCTGCGCTTATATCTGGGGTGATACGGTAGCAAGGAATCATTATGTGTGAATGACTAGGCATATGCATGGATGTTTCTAATTACTCAAAAATCATTTTCAATTGACATTTTCTTCTAGGCGCCTGAAAAAACACCTTAGTGGACAATTAGAGTGAGAGTGAATTCGAGGAAGCAATGTCAGGAGAATTTCTTAGGCACCAAAAAAAAATCAAGGTGCCTAAAAACATAATTTAGAGGTCAGGGCTTACATTTAAAAAACGCCTCCCTGATTTTGACCAATTTTTTTTTTTTTTTTTTTTTTTTTGTCTGGCGGCACTTCGGCCGCAAAATGGCTAGTCCGAGCCTGTTGAAAAATATCAGTGACCAAAAAAACGCCACTATGGGCCTTCACTGTCGGGGAAATGAGACCAGAGTCACGTTAATGTCTTTTTTCTTCCCTCTTCGTCTGGTTTGTTGGCGAAGAGAAATATTTTTTTCTCCGAAAGTGTGTAACAAGTTCTAAAAATGTGTATTGTGAATGTGCAGCTGCCTGTAACGAAGCAAAGCAACGGCGGATTACAATTTGCCGAGTTCATAACGAGGGTTGGAGGCCATTCGGCCTCCACCCACGACTTCACTTTGCAGTTCCACTCCCCACCCACACACCCTAGTTGTATAATTGTGTAATCCATAGTTGGACGAGAATGTTGAATTCCTGCAACTGTAATGAAGCCCGTTGCCTTTGCGAGAACAGAAAGCAAGCTTTCTCAATGGCACGATATGGAATGTTGCAAGAGGCATATGCACGTGGCTCGACTAGGCGCGACCTTGCAAGTGGCAACTCGGCAAGCTGCCACACAACTGAGCTGGCAGCATCACGTACAGTAACTTGTTCGATGGAATATTTTTTCACCTAGCAATCAGTAACAACTCCTTTTCACGCGGTGGGGCAGAGCAAAACTCGATTTCAGCACCAAGAAGTCCGATATTTTACTTGTGGTGAGATATCATCTCCCACCAATTCACAGTGCAGTTCACTGATTGGTTTAGCGATACGCTAAAAGTCGTTTCTTTGGCTTCTTTCAGTTTCACGACTCAACGGTTGCCCTAAGCTTACAACTAATTACCCTTTGTGATATTGGCGCAAATTGAGTGTACTAAGGTGGCCTAGCTTGTGCAGTGTGCTTTGCTCAGGTGGTGGCACTCGCTGCAACCTCGGAGGTGGGTATATCGAAAGGAAATTTCAGGGAAACGCCTTCCCAATAAACTTGGGCCCTGTTCTGTTGGCGCATTAGGGGTTCTCAGCCCTAACGATGAAAATTCTCGAAACGCGCATATCAAGGCTTAAAGCCCATCTCGAGCCTCCCAAATTGTTACTATCTCCTGAACCTCTGGTGCGGGAGTTGTGCGCGCATTACTCATGCGTGCGCAAAAACGTTGAACTCTCTGAGCGCTGAGAAAACTCCACGAGCTTGGTTCCACAGGCAAATTTCGAGCATGGCCTGTGCGAGCCCTATGCGCTTGTCGAGGGGGGAATGAAGAGGCGCACAACCAATAACGGGCAGATCTCAACGCCGGTTTCAGGGGATTTGTTCGGTGGAATACTCAACCCAAAGACAGTCCAATGGCTAGCTAGTAAGACTGCCACATCCAGGGCATCAGTTTGCAATCAATTGGAAGGCCACACGTTTTCTCGGCCGTATCATGCTGTGCCGGGCCTTGCCATGCTGTGTCGTGCCATGCTGTGCCGTGCCATGCCACATTACCCATTCTAGCATGGAAGAGGTCTGAGCATGGAAGCGAGATGGCGTGCATGCACCTGGCCATGGGATGGCGTGCATGCACGTGGCCATGGGATGGCGTGCATGCACCTGGCCATGGGATGGTGCAGGTAACAACAAAATGAGGTGGAAGTTCATGGTGGCATGCAGTACACGTGTGCCCTCCAACATGCCATGGCCCATGGGTCACTAAATGCTCACTCCTCATCGCAGCACTTCCCTCTTGGGACATTCAATGCATGCACGTTACCATCATGTCAGATCGCATTCCCGGTTCGGACACCATTCGAAGTTCGCCCACCTGAAGGTATTTTGGCGTGACGATGGTGTCCGTGTGGGGCAGGGCCCCACCTTGGACATTTGGCTGGGTCTGGCATACGAACAATGTCGTGCGTTTCGCTTGGGCTCGCGACCAATCAGAGAATGACGCAATACACAGTTGTAGCGTCAACTGCTAACGGCCAGAACTGAGTGTCGGGCATTGAAAAAAAATGCGAGTAGCCAGTTTCGGGCTCCTTGTTTGGTATATATGCGATATTTGATTTGTTTACTTTTATTGGGTAGACAATTTGAGGAAACGGGCCCGCAATAAAACACGAGAGGGACAAAACAGACTATGTGTATCCAAATCGCTGGTTTGTTGCACGATCGCACAGTTCGATGGGTGACGTGCACTTTGGTCGCACGTTCGGTGGACGACTGAAACCAGAGTGTCCAGACTTCGGACCGTGTGAACCAACATTGAAATCTCATTTTTCGAAATTCCGCACCGTGTGGACAAACTTCGGATGGTGTCCGAATGGGGAATGCAATATCACTCCCTTCCACCAACGCCCATTCAACCTCCCCAGTTCCATGGCTCACAACCAGCTTCAAGGTCCCCTTCCTTCTGCCCTCGTTTGCTACTCAGTAAGCGCGCCTTGAAGTTTCTTGGTCTTGGTCTTGGTCTGGAAGGAGGGAGGCAAGGGCGTGTGCTCAAGTTGTCTCTTGAACAACAACAATGCTGATTATGTATGTGCAATCGTAAACATTCCCCTTCATACACACTGCTGGTCATTCCCCCATCCCCATCCCATGCAACCCATGCCTCCACACAGTGAGCTGCAAGGCAACGCATTCTCTGGCTGGCTACCCAAGTTTGATTTGTGGAAAACCTTCACATACTGTGAGCTCACTGCCTTGTTCTTATCCTTCTCAACCGATGTCCATCTATGTCAGCCCTTCATTTGCCCTTCTTGTTTACCCCCATTTTCATAAAGACAGATATGATCTAGCAGCCATGAGCCACATCTGAAATAGCAGCCACATACCTAGCGTCGCAGAGTTACACTGTCACTTGGATCCTCATTCCCCTCGCCTGCGCCCATCCACCATGTCACCTCCTTACCCTTCTCACAACCGCCCACCACCACCATGCCCCACTCAATCCCTAACAACGTCAGCAACAACCAGCTCAGTGTTTCCCTTCCTGACTCCATCTTCGGCCTTTTATTGTTGTCACGGCTGTGAGCCTTGCTCCATCTCTCTTTGAGAATAAGGAAGCGGTGATGTTGTGAGGTAGGGGATGTTTGAGGATGGAGCCTTGCTCCATCTCTCTTTTAGGAGGGCAGGATGTTTGAGGAGGCACAAATGCTACCTTGAGAAACAGGTTGTGCACACCTTGTCTAGGCCCAGCAACTCTGA